GAAAACACAACTAGTTTTGAGGAACTTTGCGGTGGCATCAGCCAATTATGCCATTTCATTCGAAAAGTTTACACAGGGGACAATAAAGCAAAAAAGGAATCTCTGAAATCATACATACTAAGCGCAAATATCTGAAGAGACTCTCGAAAATGGCATATATGCTAATGAAGGTGACTTAACAATGTCAGTGAGCATGATGGTGACTACTGCTGTTAGAATATGTTCTTTCGTGATAATACAGAAAGCAACATGAGGGCTATTTATTTGCACGCAAAGCCTGGATCCGAGCTTGAATCCATGAACTGGTTCATGTGCTGTCGATTACAAAATAGTGGGAGAGTTTAGGCGTTCAAACAACGCGAGGACAACTTGCATACAATGCAGAATTTTAAATCTGCTTACCCCAAAGTATTATAAAGGTAGTTTACTTATTTCGTAGTTGGTTCCAGCAACATCGGCGACAACATCCAGCCGAGATTCGAAATTTAAATTGCATGATTCAATTGAATCATGAAATTCTGCGCGTAAATTAGCGTATTATAATAATGTCTCGTGTACAACATAAAAACAACTTAATCATTTCAGACATCTCAATATTATTTCACGTCTGTTAAATAATATATGCATGGTTACTGAGTATATACTCTTTTTTACTTGTTCTGAAACAAGAAATGTGCAGCCGAAATGCTAGCAGAAATGCCCGAAAAATCTCTAGGAAATGAGAAATTTTTGATAATTATGTGGGGTAGACAGCTTAGGAAGTGTGGAACATCAAGGTAAGGGCTAAAAGGAATAAGTCTAAGCACGCGAATATTACAGAGGAAAGGTGAAGGAATGATTGTGTAGGGAGAATTATAGGTTCTCAAAGTCACCTATTTAGCAAACCTCGGGTGTATCCCTGCAAACTACGTGTGTACTAAGGAAGATTGGATGTGAGAAATTATTTGTTCCTGACTGTATTGTGAGAGTACGGAATGGCCTGCTCAAGGCGGTCGTGATGTCTCAGCAAGTTGCTGTTCCTTCCTAACTTTCCGTCGAAACACGAGTTTCAGTGAAACTACGTTTCTTTCCACTTCATACGGTAATTCCCCTGCAGTGTTGCTAATTCTTTCGATTTGCATGTAACGAATAGAGTATTCAGGTAAGTAAGTATGCGCCTCTGTTATACACTGAACTGAAATACAAACAGTTGGGGTGTAGCACTGAGCCGCAAAATTTCTCAAACCCGAAACACAGGCGAAGAAATCCGGCTAGAAACAAGGCTCTGGGAAAAAAAGGAATAAACGGCAGCGGAGTTACTTGAAGTCGCTTATGCTTTTTAACCCTAGTGGACTGACCAGATTCCGTTTAAATAATCAGGAAGATGTGGTGGTCAAAAATCTCATATTACTTATTCGATGTGGATATATTTTCTGCAGATATATTATGAATACCTGAGTCCACGAACTACGAAGGTATGATTTCTATGCGCACGCCAAGTTTCTCCCCGTAAGTCATTCGGAGCCTGGATCTTCCCGAATATCATGCAAAGTTAATTTTGAACTGGTCCGCTGCTTAGGATTTTAGTTCACTTGCGACGATTGCTCAGTACTGGAGTGGACGTCGGGTGTATCGACTGTTTAAGAATTAGCATCCGTCTAGATGAACTGACAATGGTATGAAAGGCGTGACTGCACGGACTAGCCATTCCGCTCTTGTCGCATCTTATATACAGTTCTGGTCTGTACCTCCATGGCTCTGTGATGTTCGCGGCTGCCATGCCTCGATAGTCGATCCGACTGCCAAGAAGTAAGATGAGGCCAACGGGAGTAATTCTACACGGGATGCATTCATTTGGAAAATGGGTCGTCCAGACGTGAGGCGTTAAACATGGTGCAAAGATCTTCAATCATCTGTACTCGGACAGATGGTCAGCCTCCTCGACTGCGAATGGTTAATGATATATGCTGAGTGGTTGAAATGAGCGTGTGACTACCACCAGAGTAAACTTAATCACACACTAACAATATCCAGTACCAGTTCTCAATCCCCAAATACCCAAACGGACTAGTCTTATCTGGACTGTTGTCAGTGAGGGGGAATTTGTTCTGCGCAGATTGTCCCTGACGGTTTGACTATTCATTTATTTAGACACGGACGCTTCTTTCGGCAACGCTACACTCCACCATCACTTTAGCTGGAGGGTGCCGGTGGTGTCGAGGTGTGTTATGGTCAACAACACAGAGATTCCCAAATCAGAAGTCTTGGAAGATGGATTGGCGTGGACAACCTCATGTGACGAGTAAAAGCGTGCAAGAAGTTCTGCAAGCATTCGCCACAAGCTGTCTCCCCAGACAAGTTGTCCGTGTCCGTCGTTGAGATAACTGTCTCTCAGTGCGTGTGTGTGCTTTTTACCCTCTTCCAGTTAGCGCCCGCCAGTCGATCAGAGAAAAGGTAGCGGCATTCACCTCATTGTGTGGCCCGTCGATGTGGCGGATGTCTGAAGTAAATTGCGGAAGGTGGTCCATTTGACGAATTTCCCGGGGGTTGAGCTCTTCGGAAGCGGGCTTGAGAGTTAGGGGAAGGGACTCGCGATCCGTTAACACGAGTACGAGCGGAGACTCTCTAGCAGCAGTATGGTGTCGGCACAGTGCGGCGGATCTGGCTCTATAGATTCGCCATGTCCATAAATCGCTGCTGCTGACGTTCGGAAGAGGGAGGCGGAAAATCATGTATAGCCGCGATGCTCAATGCAAGAGGATGGATGCCGTTGGAGTAGTCCAGATGACTGAGAAATTCTAGAGAGGACACACCGGACAGGCACTTGGAAGGGTTGAGAACAACACCAAATTGTTGAAGGCGATCAAACTCCGTTGCAAGACAATCCACGTATTCTTCGGCGGTAGAGTTAGCTATCAGCAGGTCATTGATATATGCGTGGACAAGTGGTAGGCCGCAACGTGCTATGCCTAAGAACATCTGGAAGTTCCGGGAGACGTTGAGGATTCCAAGCGGTCTGCTCAGGAACTCAAAAATGCTATGGGAATGATGACGGTAGTCTTCGAAATGTCATTCTGAGCGATAGGCATTCGGTAAAAGGCGCAGACCAGTTCGAACTTCGAGAACACAGATATGCCAAATACGATGCCGACGAAATCCTGAGAATTCAGGACAGGGTAGCGGTGCGGGGCGGTAACGTTGTTCAAGGCTCCGTAATCGCTGAAGGGGGGCCAGTCACCAATGGCGGCCTTCGGGACCATAAGGAGGACGTAAGACAGTAAGGATAGTAAGGACGTAAGGACGGTAAGACATGTAGGCGCGAGACAGCGGAGCCGAGAAAACACGGGAATGGCAGTGGACAGGATGTGACGAACAAGTCGTGTGGTGTAGTCGCGACTCTAAATATAGGGCAAGAATCCCGACCGAGCACAACGGGATTATTCTGTTCTCCAACTGTGACTTCTCCGGGTTGGCTACCACGTGGCAGTTATTTTTTCTAATATTGGCATTGAAACTGTGCGTACAGAATTACTTTGTGCATTTTTGGATTATTTTTTTCAAGTGTCGAAATTCGTCAGGAAACCGAGTCAAGTACAATTTGATTATCATCGCAGTTCAACTGACTTATCAGCCGACTCGTGATTATCTGCAGCCTAGGAAAACAATCGTCGCTCGCTGAAGTTTAAATACTCATTCTTATTCCTCACAGAAAATCCGAAGAATTCATGTAGCAGCCTTTTCTCTGTCCCCTCCTTCTACTGTATGCGCGTCACGGCTGCGCTCGTCAACCCTCGATTTGCACTCCCGTTCATGCCACACTCCTGGTCGATAATTTGCTTCTACTCTCACGTGCTCTCGAAGCTAATCAATGCGATCTCTTTAGCTGATTGATTACAAGTGCACACACGAGACGCCGCCCTTGGGGACGTAATTTTGAACATACAGGACATAGGCAAGAAGGACACAACACTTTTTGGTGGTAGCGACACGCTGAAGCCTCCGCAACTGACACTCTCCAGACCGAACGCTTATCTCTGCCTCAAGCATACAGCCGACTTACGGCGACCTGCCCTGTGTACAGAATAAACCCGTTCTCACAACTTCCTGGCTTCTGTCACTAGACGGAGCAAAATTATTGTATGTGGTTGAAGTTGATCTCCCGTCCTTGATCACTACATCCATTATAACCTCGAAACCGAAAATATACCAATTCTCTCATTCCTTTATTTATGGAGTACCAGCAATTTAACTATAATGGTACGACCAGCGCCAGCGCTTCGTTAGGTGATAAGTGGAATGAGATGTCCTTCGCGTCCAGCATCTGCGCCCGCTCTATGTACGTTTCCAGCAAACGGCCAGCAAATATTGCCAGGAGCGCAATTACCGCGAAAAGTGCGAGGCAAGCGCATGAACCTTGTGGTGGGTGAGCATATATCCAAAACAAAAAAGCCAAAATATAAACAGGCTTTCTGACTTAGGGACGACCATGCAGCAGAACCTTGGTGACCAAAAGAAATTCTTCGGTGTCAGAGTCCAAAAAAACAAAGAGAAAAACGCAATGAGCGCAATAAATACCGTCTCAGGAGCATCTCCAAACACGGATAGCAACTCAGTAAGCACCGACGCGGGAATATGTAGCAGCAAGACTACGACAGTGAAGCTGTTGATAAGGGCAGACTCGATTCTCGATAGAGACAAACCCTACGCGGTCCCAACGGCGAATCGACAAGGGGCGTGGGGCAAACAGAAGGGCTGCATGACAAAGCGACGGAGAGCAAGGAGTCGCGGACTGGCACAAATCTGGCGAATGCCTTCGCCACAGAAAATCGAGATGGACTCTGGAGAATCAGGTAGAAATTCTGATTTCGGGGCGATTTATTCAAATGGTAAGACAGCTTCACGGCGTAATGATAACTCTCGCAGTGGACAGCAGGACAATCTCCGAAGCATCCACAATTACAAATGGCGTCAAGCAGGTTTGCGTACTCGTTCCAGTAGTATTTAACTCAGTCTCCTCTACCATGTTGATAGTATCTACCGCGAGGAGCGACAGCAGATACATATCAATTACCGGACGTCGGAAAACTGTTCAACATCCGTCGTCTGAAAGCATCGTTGGAGGTACTCTAGGCCGAAAATCATGACCAATTTTTTTGCAAATGAGGGCGTACTAAGCACCACAAAGTAAGAGGACAGGCAGCGTGGTTTGAAGCTCCTCGCCTTCGACTGTTTTGAATTCGGCTTAATAATCAGCACGAAGAGAACAGTGGGACTGCACCGGCGGGTGCCAAATGCTGACTACACTAAACCCGTATCAATGTCAGTGGAACTTACCTCATAGCTGAGGAGAATCGGACATACACTTTGGAAACAAATTCAAGAAGCTTGAGGGTCGCCCAATCTGCTGCGGTGCAAAGCGATGGCGTCAGTTTAGCGGTCTGCTGGGGCAACTGTACTCGCTTTCCCTGTTTACTCTGCGAGAACCTCAGTCACACAGCCTATGCCCTGCTAAGCATGTAAAGCGTCAGTAAAAAAAGCCTTAAGAGTTCGCAACCGCGAAAGACCACCGAAATGATTGCCTTGAAATACTTTTGACAAAGAATTCTCCACATCAATTTGTGCAGTACATATTGAAATGGATCACGGAGGCAAGTGAGATTTTTTTCACCTACGCATGCTGTCCATCTGCTCAGCGCCTAGAGCATTCCACTATTACTCTGACTAAAACACTGACTTCTGCTGCTGCTGCTGCTGCTGCTGCTGCTGCTGCTGCTGCTGCTGCTGCTGCTGCTGCTGCTGCTGCTGCTGTTGGATGATTAGGTGTCGCCACTGGGATGCGGTCGAGTGAAATACAGGAAGAAATCAGCGGTCTCGCCATTCGGCACCCTAATGATCGCTTAGAGGTCTTACCCTTGAGTAGGGCTATGATCGCAACATGTATGTATATGTATATATGTTTATATTGAAGGGTTAAAGGCAGAGCCCTTGATGATCCTATTTATGTACAGTGCTTTCGCAGATTCGTGCTCAAAAATAAAATAAATTTGCAGGCATTTAAAATGTGATTGGGTCACAGTTCCATCGTGATCATAAGGTAGTGCATAAGGTCACTGTAAATTAGTGCGGAAGATTGTATATGACAGATTTTACAAAACTGGCTGTGCATAGTCATGCTGTAAAATCCGATTTCTGTCGAAAACTAGACGAGCAAGTTTTCTTTTAAACACACAAACTGTGTCAGCCGTCACCATCTCGCTTGGAAGCGAGTTCCACGGCTTGACAACCCGCTGGCTGAATGAAAATTTTCGTCAATCTAAACGCGTGCGCTCATTCCCGACTTTGTATGCGTGGTCGCGTAGTTGGTTTGTACGGACGAACTCAAAGAAATCCTCTGCTCTTAATGAGCAACCCTGGCCGCGAACACTCCGGAACATCCTGAGTAGACTGCAGTTTATTTGTCTATAAGAGGGAGGGAATAGGCCAAGCAAATTCAGCCTCTCCTGATAAGACAAATGCTTTAGACAGTCGACCGTCTTTGTCGCTCTGCATTGTACCTGTTCGATTAAGTTGATATCCTTCCTCATCCATGGTGAAGCTGCTGGCATTCCATACTCTAGATGAGATTTTGCAAAGACACCAAAGAGCCTTTCAAAAAGTTCGGGAGGAAATATTTCAAATGCACGTCTGATCCAGTGTTGAGTACTAGTTGCCTTCTGGACCATCTTTCTGCAGTGTTCTGATGGCGATAGATTTGTGGTCGTCCATACACCCAGATCTCTGTGCCTTTCCACAGTTTCTAACCTCGTCGCGTCAATATAGTACTGGTGTTTGGGAGAGGAATTGCAGCCGGTGTTCAGGTGCAAGACCACACATTTGGACACGTTAAACTTCAAAAGCCATCTGTTCGACCAAGCACACAGTTTGTCGATGTTCGACTGCAACTCCTTTGCGTCATCATCGCACTTGACTTCACTCCATATTTGTATTTCATCCGCGAACATGAGAGACTCGCAATTCACTTCGCTGATGCAGTCATTAACATCGCGCGTCCTTCGAATTTGAGTCGTATCCCCAGCTCTCCGAGTTTTCGTCGAATTTACTTGATAGTATAGGGCAGACTGAACGTCGCGTGGAAATAAATTGCGAACTGACAGCGTATCCTTTGGATTTGGATTACAAGTACACCAACTCGAAAGTTCTATCATTATTGGAATTTTCGGATCTCGACGTTATTTCCCACGGTATCAGGAGGAAGATTCTACCCGAATTCTTCAAGGAACAGCACCACTGATTAGTCTTCTCATTCGCACTGGTGAAGTATACCACAAATTCTCCATCAAAAGATATTTGCAATCGTCCGACCATTTGTACATGTCTCCCTACTTGACAACTTTTCTCCGAGATCTACGTCGAAAACTATAAATGGCTGAGTCGTTTCCTATTTTACTTCATAATTGGCAAATTCTTCATTCTAACAATTGTTGAAAACATCCTGCACTACTCTAGAACTGATTGAAGAGTTTGAAAATCATCAGCAATGAGCCAATTTGTTATAAAAAACTCGTTCACAAAAGTTGTGCAACCGGGATTTGAACTCGGTACCTGCGGTCTCGGAGGCCACAGTGTTAGCCACTGCGCTATCGATGAACGGTTTGGCGCTAGTCAGATATGTTTATCAACTACAGAAGAGCAGCTGAAAACGGTCTTTAATTCATTAGCAGTCTCTTGCGATAAAATGCCGCTGGAATCATNTAAATACTCATTCTCATTCCCCACAGAAAATCCGAAGAATTCATGTAGCAGCCTTTTCTCTGTCCCCTCCTTCTACTGTATGCGCGTCACGGCTGCGCTCGTCAACCCTCGATTTGCACTCCCGTTCATGCCACACTCCTGGTCGATAATTTGCTTCTACTCTCACCTGCTCTCGAAGCTAATCAATGCGATCTCTTTAGCTGATTGATTACAAGTGCACACACGAGACGCCGCCCTTGCGGACGTAATTTTGAACATACAGGACATAGGCAAGAAGGACACAACACTTTTTGGTGGTAGCGACACGCTGAAGCCTCCGCAACTGACACTCTCCAGACCGAACGCTTATCTCTGCCTCAAGCATACAGCCGACTTACGGCGACCTGCCCTGTGTACAGCATAAACCCGTTCTCACAACTTCCTGGCTTCTGTCACTAGACGGAGCAAAATTTTTGTATGTGGTTTAAGTTGATCTCCCGTCCTTGATCACTACATCCATTATAACCTCGAAACCGAAAATATACCAATTCTCTCATTCCTTTATTTATGGAGTACCAGCAATTTAACTATAATGGTACGACCAGCGCCAGCGCTTCGTTAGGTGATAAGTGGAATGAGATGTCCTTCGTGTCCAGCATCTGCGCCCGCTCTATGTACGTTTCCAGCAAACGGCCAGCAAATAGTGCCAGGAGCGCAATTACCGCGAAAAGTGCGAGGCAAGCGGATGAACCTTGTGGTGGGTGAGCATATATCCAAAACAAAAAAGCCAAAATATAAACAGGCTTTCTGACTTAGGGACGACCATGCAGCAGAACCTTGGTGACCAAAAGAAATTCTTCGGTGTCAGAGTCCAAAAAACAAAGAGAAAAACGCAATGAGCGCGATAAATACCGTCTCAGGAGCATCTCCAAACACGGATAGCAACTCAGTAAGCACCGACGCGGGAATATGTAGCAGCAAGACTACGACAATGAAGCTGCTGATAAGGGCAGACTCGATTCTCGATAGAGACAAACCCTACGCGGTCCCAACGGCGAATCGACAAGGGGCGTGGGGTGAACAGAAGGGCTGCATGACAAAGCGACGGAGAGCAAGGAGTCGCGGACTAGCACAAATCTGGCGAATGCCTTCGCCACAGAAAATCGAGATGGACTCTGGAGAATCAGGCAGAAATTCTGTTTTCGGGGCGATTTATTCAAATGGTAAGACAGCTTCACGGCGTAATGATAACTCTCGCAGTGGACAGCAGGACAATCTCCGAAGCATCCACAATTACAAATGGCGTCAAGCAGGTTTGCGTACTCGTTCCAGTAGTACTTAACTCAGTCTCCTCTACCATGCTGATGGTATCTACCGCGAGGAGCGACAGCAGATACATATTAATTACCGGACGTCGGAAAACTGTTCAATATCCGTCGTCTGAAAGCATCTTTGGAGGTATTCTAGGCCGAGAATCATGACCAATTTTTTTGCAAATGAGTGCGTACTAAGCACCACAAAGTAAGAGGACAGGCAGCGTGGTTTGAAGCTCCTCGCCTTCGACTGTTTTGAATTCGGCTTAACAATCAGCACGAAGAGAACAGTGGGACTGCACCGGCGGGTGCCAAATGCTGACTACACTAAACCCGTATCAATGTCAGTGGAACTTACCTCATAGCTGAGGAGAATCGGACATACACTTTGGAAACAATTTCAAGAAGCTTGAGGGTCGCCCAATCTGCTGCGGTGCAAAGCGATGGCGTCAGGTTAGCGGTCTGCTGGGGCAACTGTACTCGCTTTCCCTGTTTACTCTGCGAGAACCTCAGTCACACAGCCTATGCCCTGCTAAACATGTAAAGCGTCAGTAAAAAAAGCCTTAAGAGTTCGCAACCGCGAAAGACCACCGAAATGATTGCCTTGAAATACTTTTGACAAAGAATTCTCCACATCAATTTGTGCAGTACATATTGAAATGGATCACGGAGGCAAGTGAGATTTTTTTCACCTACGCATGCTGTCCATCTGCCCAGCGCCTAGAGCATTCCACTATTACTCTGACTAAAACACTGACTTCTGCTGCTGCTGCTGCTGCTGTTGGATGATTAGGTGTCGCCACTGGGATGCGGTCGAGTGAAATACAGGAAGAAATCAGCGGTCTCGCCATTCGGCACCCTAATGATCGCTTAGAGGTCTTACCTTCGAGTAGGGCTATGATCGCAACATGTATGTATATGTATATATGTATATATTGAAGTGTTAAAGGCAGAGCCTTTGATGATCCTATTTATGTATAGTGCTTTCGCAGATTCGTACTCAAAAATAAAATAAATTTGCAGGCATTTAAAATGTGATTGGGTCACAATTCCATCGTGATCATAAGGTAGTGCATAAGGTCACTGTAAATTAGTGCGGAAGATTGTATATGACAGATTTTACAAAACTGGCTGTGCATAGTCATGCTGTGCAATCCGATTTCTGTCGAAAACTAGACGAGCAAGTTTTCTTTTAAACACACAAACTGTGTCAGCCGTCACCATCTCGCTTGGAAGCGAGTTCCACGGCCTGACAACCCGCTGGCTGAATGAAAATTTTCGTCGGTCTAAACGCGTGCGCTCATTCCCGACTTTGTATGCATGGCCGCGTAGTTGGTTTGTTCGGGCGAACTCAAAGAAGTCCTCTGCTCTTAATGAGCAACCCTGGCCGCGAACAATCCGGAACGTCCAGAGTAGACTGCAGTTTATTTGTCTATAAGAGAGAGGGAATAGACCAAGCAAATTCAGCCTCTCCTGATAAGACAAATGCTTTAGACCGTCGACCATCTTTGTCGCTCTGCGCTGCACCGGTTCGAGTAAGTTGATATCCTTCCTCATCCATGGTGAAGCTGCTGGCATTCCATACTCTAGATGAGGTCTTACAAAGACACCAAAGAGTCTTCCGAAAAGTTCGGGAGGAAATATTTTAAATGCACGTCTGATCCAGTGTAGAGTACTAGTTGCCTTCTGGACCATCTTTCTGCAGTGTTCTGATGGCGATAGATTTGTGGTCGTCCATACACCCAGATCTCTGTATCTTTCCACAGTTTCTAACCTCGTCCCGTCAATATAGTACTGGTGTTTGGGAGAGGCATTGCGGCCGGTGTTCAGGTGCAAAACCACGCATTTGGACACGTCAAACTTCAAAAGCCACCTGTTCGACCAAGCACACAGTTTGTTGATGTTCGACTGCAACTTATCTGCGTCATCATTGCACTTGACTTCACTCCATATTTTTATGTCATCCGCGAACATGAGAGCCTCGCAATTCACTTCGCTGATGCAGTCATTAACATAAATCAGGAAGAGTACTGGGCCTAAGACAGAACCCTGTTGGACACCACTTTCCACCTTTACCCATTTCGAGGTAGAATTACCAACGGCGACTCTTTGTAGTCTGGAGGACAGAAAACTCCGGATCCATTTAGACGTTCTTCCTTGAATTCCTACATCCCAGATCTTCTGTAAAAGAAGCTTGTGTGGGACACTGTAAAAGGCCTTCTTGAATTCAAAAAATATGACATCCACTGGAAAACCCTTATCGGTAGCTCGTGTCCATTCCTCGTGCGAGTAAAAAACACTCGTTAGGCAGGAGAGCCCTGGACGAAAGCCATGTTGGGCATCACACTATATTTTGTTCTGTTCCAGGTATTTCATCAAGTGTCTTTTGATAATGCGTTCCATTATTTTACACGCGATGCAAGTAAGACTGACGGGACGATAATTTCCACAGTCAAGTCTTGAGCCTCCTTTATGAATCGGAGTAATGAGTGCGCACTTCCATTCTTCCGGGAGCTCGCCGTCTTCAAATGACTTTTGAAATATTGCGGATAAGAGTTTGCACAGTTCATTAGCAAGTTCGCGAAGTGCTAGGGCGGGAATTCTATCTGGGCCAGGCGATTTGGCAGGTTTCAGCCGGAGTAGCTCGGCCCTAACTATGGTCGATGAAAAGAATGGTT